CATGGTCTTGGAACTTCTTTCCCAACAGTCCCACAGTGTGCACAGTATGCATTTACACATTATGAATTCCAGTATTTCAAGGTGGTGGTTCACCATTATCTTCTCAAGGACATTTTTGTATGGGCTGCAAACGTTGTCCATGCTGGTGATGCTCACATTGCATGAATCAATAAATAGGAAACATTACTCAACTCATTTTGTATCCTTGATTTAAATGTGCCATGCTGCACAGGAGATCTGAAGAAGAGACATGAGCCACGGGAGTGGCAGGAATCTCAGAACACCTTGTAACCATTCTAACCGGCTTTTTAAGTAAAGCAGGAAGTTCAGATTGATGAGCTTTAAAAGCAACGTGGAGCTGTATGTACCTACCGTTTCAAATGGCATGCACATTAGGGAACAAAAGGCTTAGATTCATTCAAATTTGGTTGTGAACATGTGGTACACATAATACCATATGGGTGCAATCAATAACTCCCACAGCCCTAATGAGTATGGATAATTATGAAAAAAATTGTGAATCCTCTCAGTTATTTGTCTGTACGTAAATTGAAAAGTACCATGAAACAGGGCATTGGTGGCTTGCCTTATAGAGAATTGAACAGGAATTAGCTAATCAGGCACAAGTTCCCTGTGGATTCCAGTCCGGAGAACTGTGGTCATATTTGCTGCCACAGTGATAGATGTATGTGTTCTGGACCTTGGCTGCAGCAACAAACAGGATTGCTCTGAAGCTTTGACTGAACTGAAGTACAGCCACATAAGAAGATTTTCTCAAAATGCCTTAGAAAATACATCCCTGAATCTAAACACTGTAAGACGATAGTGCTGAGGTAATCTGTTCTCCTCTGATGCTGAGTTCTCTGGTTTGCCTGAAATTTTCCTGCAACTGCATAGAAGAACAGAGCACATGGAACGAGTAGGCCACTCAGCTCCTCTAGCTTATTCCATCATTCTAGCTCGTGTCTGATCATCTGCCTTAATGTCATAAACCCACACTAAATTCCTTAATATCATTAGTAACTAAACATTTAAATCAATTGTGTATCGAACATTCTCAATGACTGAGCATCCATAATCATTTAGGGAAGAGAATTCCAAAGATTACTAGTTTGGACTGAATAAGTCCCTCTTTCGCCGTCATAAGTGGCTTTCCTTTTATTCAGAGTAACCCCCACAGCCAGGGGAGACATCATTTTTGTACCTAGCCTGACTAGCCCTTTAGATATTTTGTAAGTTTTAAATTAGATCACCTATCGTTCTTCCAATGCAGGCACAGTCTCCTCAGATCGCTTCTCATAGGACAGTCCCTCCATACTAGGAATCAGTCTGGTGACCCTCTAGGTACTCTCTCTTGATGGCAAATAAATCCTTTCTTTGGCAAGGGGACCAGAACTGCACACAATAGTCCGGGTGCAGTCTAACTGGCATTGTATACAATTGAACGAAGACTTCTTTGCTCCCATACTTAAATCCTTTTGCAATTAACGTTAACACATCATTTACTAACTGAACTGTTTCCTGCACCTGCATGCTAGCTTTCAGCGACTTATGAACCATTACACCTAGATCCCATTGGGCATCAATACTTTTCAATCTCTCAATTAAGAAATATTTTGTGCCTCCATTCTTCCATTCTTCCTACCCAAGTGGATATCTGCTATTTATCCACATTATGTGCCATCTGTTATTTTCCTGCCCACTCACTTAGCCCGTAAATCCTCTTGAAGCCACTTTGCACCTTGCTCATATTTCATATTCCCAAGATTTGTATCATCTATAAACACAAAAATATTATAATTGGCCCCACATCCAAATCACTTATAAAGATTGTGAACAGCTGGGGACAAAACACTAACCCTTGCACTACCTGTGGGTCACAGTTTCTGAACTTGAGAACGACACATTTACTCCTAACATGGTTTATGCCTGTTAACCAATCCTCAATCCAGAAGACTGTGAGACCATAGGAAATAGGAACAAGAGCTACTGCTTGGCTCCTCCAGCCTGCTCTGCTATTTGACAGAATCATGGCTGATCTGCCATTCCTTACATCCACTTGCCTGTATTTTCTCCATAACCCTTGTTTCCCCGAATGTTCAAGCAACCATATTGTAAACAGTTGTAATCTAAGCCTTGATCCCTGTGAAACTCCAATGGTCACAGGTCAACCTGAAAAAGAAGAATTCTTCCTCCACAGCATTGATGTTCAATGGAAATTTTGAAACTATGTATAGATTGAAGTCACCTGCATTCCCCTTGCTGTATGCACCTCTAATTTTCAACTGTTTGGTGGCTTATATACCACTCCTACCATTTTTGCTGCCCTTGCTGTTTCTTAGCTCCAGCAAAACAGATTCAACATCCCGTTCTTTTAATTGAGATCATCTCTCACTCGTATGCTGATCCTGTCCCTTATTATCAGCACTATCCTACCTCCTTTTCTCTTTGCCTCGTCTCCATAAATGTTGAATACCCTTTAATATTCAGTTCCAAGTCTTGGTCACCCTGGAGGTACATCTCCACGACAGCAGTTAAATCTTAACTTTTTACATTTACTAGCATCACCAATTCATGTATCTTGTTGTAAAAGCCACATGCATTGAGATAGAGCATGTTTAATTTAGCTTCTTTGACACTGCTCTGCAATTTAACCCAGTTTGATTCTAGGATTTGTTTCTGTTGTTATGTGTTTTTATTTCTAGCTTTCCTACTACATATAGCCAGCTTTATTCTACCTGAATTTGCTCTGAAATTCCTATCCCTGTGACAAGTTAGTTTAAACTTTCCCAACAGCACTAGTAAATCTCTCTGAATGATATTAGTCCCAGTCCTACTAATGTTTAACCAGTCCTCCTTGTCCAAGTCCTACCTACCCCAGAACCAGCCCCAAGGCCCCAGAAGTCTAAAGTTCTCCTTGCTGCACCATTTTTCTAGCCACGCATCTATTTGCTCAATCTTCCAATTTCCATACTCACTCGCACATTGTACTGGAAGCAGTCCTAGAATGCTAGTTTGTAAATTGGGATTCCATTTAGAAACCCACCGTCTAGGTTTCGGATATTATGACAGCATTATCCTCTTTAAAAAACCATGTGCTCTGGAGGTAACCACAATGTAAAGGAAGGCTCCGAGTATAACAGTAAAAGCATTCCACAATATCTTTAGTGAATCGCAGTATAAGGATACAAGTCTTCATGACCAACATCAGTTCACCAGTTTTCCTTTAACGAGACACTTTTGCTTTGATGAGCAGGTCCTGGCTAATTGCACCTTTAGGATATAGAATTTAGAATGGGAACTATCATTCTATCTCAATTATATAATTTATAGCTCACTATCATAGAGATCAGGTGCTTCTACACATGCATTAAAATTAATTGGAACGGATACCAGGAAGTTTCTGAATTAGAAACCAGTGGACATTGAGTCAGATTCAAATAACAATGCCTAATTTCTTACTAAATCTTTACTATTTCTTACTAATTTGCTACAAATTATGCCACCCACTACAGGAGTTATGAAGCATTTTTATGTTTCACAGTTTCCAATTCTCTTCAGTGAAATATTTTTAAAAGTAAAAATTGTGGACATGTTTAGTTCAGTTACCACAAATGCATAGAAAATACAAAGAATTTTAATTATGAACTATAATTCAATGCCAGAACAAGAAAATATCATAGAATCCCAACAGTGTAGAAGCAGGCCATTCGGCTCATGAAGTCCACACAAACCCTCTGACGAGCATCCCACCCAGATCCACGTACCTACCCCATCCCTGTAACCCTGCAGTTCCTATGGCTAATCCACCTAACCTGCATATCTCCACACATGGTGAGCAATTTAGCATGGCTAATCCACCTAACTTGCACATCTTTGGACTGTGGGAGGAAGCCGGAGCATCCAGAGGAAACCCACTCAGACACAGGGAGAATGCAAAATCCGCACAGACAGTTACCCAAGAGTGGAATCGAACCGGGGTGCCTGGCACCGTGAGGCAGCAGTGCTAACCACTAAGCCACCATATCGCCATGCTCTGGCTTTCTTGACATATCCCCTTTTTTTTTCTACATTTCCAGTGCAAGGTTTTCAGCTGTTTTAGCTCAATATATGATTACACTATCTATGCTACTTCATCTAGGTTACTCCTTTACCTACTTCAAAAGTCCGTTCAATCTTGCTTTTGGTTATTAGTCCAATGTTTCTTTCCTAATCTTTGGTTCTTTTCCACTTTTGATGAAATGCCTCAAGAAATCTTATTAGATTAGGCAGGGAATATAAGTGTAAGCAGTCATTGATGATGTTAAGAAAGTTTCAAGTATTAATAAGATGATGATTTTGCGGTGTTTTATGTTGGAGTACACAAAAATAGTGAACAAAGCATATTCTGACCAGAGGAATAAGATCTATAAAAATTAAGAGAAAAAGAGAATGGAACTTGCAACAGAAACAAGTACTTCATCACTTTAATTTAGTTCCCATTTAGGAAAACAAATAATTTATGGCCAAATGAAACAAAGTAGTTATAATTATATAATGCATTAGATGATTTGGCTCAGAGGTAGGGGTGCTACCAACTAAGCCATAACATCTCTCATGGCTGTGGTTAAATTGGTGATACAATAAGATCTAAATATCTTAGGACTTTAAACCTAAGATTTAGATGATGTGTGCCTTTATCTAAGGTCTACTCCAGTTATGTTGCATTTACAATCAAAAGAATAAACTGTGCAATTATTATTCCTAGCATATTTACTTTGGATTAGGAACAGTTCAAACTTATAAATTCTTCCATATTAGATGTAAATATTGTATTTTTAAACCTTGATAAGATTAATACTTTAGATTTGCATTGAATAGCTAACTTTTCAAAGCATTGTGCCCGAGTCTATTTTTTCCTTTTACTGTTGGTTCTCAAGAGTCAAATGTGTCTACCCATTAATTCATAACAACACAGCTGTTACTTTGAGATCTTACAGCTTTTTCTGCAGTTCCCTTACCAGTAGTGAATAGGTGCTTGATAGGTTTCTCAGTGCCAGGATTTTTTAAGTTTGCAGTTGCTGGGGAGGACTGGGCTCTGCAGAGTGGTTGATGCCTGTCTGTCACAGACATACTTCCCATAGCTACAGAAGCCTGATACACATGAAGCTGTTGCATGCGTTGCTGGTCCAAGAATTGCTGCTGTAAAAATTGAAAAACAAAAAGCTGAACTTACTTCGCATTACTTCAAAAAAGAAATCAAATTAAAATTATTTAGTAAAGTCATCCACAAAGACTCTAAACATAGCCTCTTCTATGCCTACTTGGCATCTCACAGTTTCTAAAATGTTTCCATTGTTATTGTACATAGTTGAATCAAGTAAAAAAAAATTATTGCACTGCCACCTAGCTACTTTCATTAAAATTTACCTTTCTACCAGAAAAACACTTAGATTTGCATTGGTATCATCTGTATCAATTTCAAACACATTTGCATAATGACGTTCCTGGTTACTCTCCAAATTATTCTTTATTTTTCCTGTCGAAGGCATTCTGATAACCCTTCGCTCGTAATGTGAAGGAAGCAAAAGCAACTCTTACAGCCAGTTTTCCTTACTTGGGGAAGTATATAATAACTATGTGTCACTTCCCAATAACCCAATAGAAGATTCACAATTGAAAACCTACAGTGGTTTATTTATTTCTGGTGATCTTACTTATAATCCTTGTGCAGCTTAAATATATACTGCTCAAAACATGGCTCCCTTGTGTTTTCCTAAGAAACCAATAAAGCCTTGCCATTTTCAACTGAATCCTTGTACTAAACCTTGAGGTCTAATTATCTTGGTTTTCTCCCCATTGTTTTTCCCACTTTAACCAAATTCCTCTGTACAATGTACCAATCTACTAAAAAGACAGGGAAAGTATATTTTGGGGCTGCTGTCCACAACACCAAAAGTTGGCAAGGAGAAATAACAAGCATTGACCTGTCTTTGCTTTGATTTCATTTCTTAGAGGAAGCACCATGCCTCTACTCAGAGCCTTTTCAAATGATTATGCTGAGACTAAGAGCTTAATTTAAATGAAAGTTATAAATATTAAAAATATTAGGCAAAAGATGGCTGGTTGCACTTTATACAGCGACAGGTCTTTATCCTCTGTGCTTCGCAGCAAAATAGCAGCTAACATACTTACGAAAATCAAGAGATATTATCCTGACTGCTTATAGATGTGGTTTAAACAGATTGCTAACCTTGACATTTCTTCCTAGAATACATCCCTTTTTGAAACAGACTGCCTTGAGTCTAATTACTGTAAAAAAAATTTTATTGAACAACGTTATAACACAGAGAATATGCCTAAAGCAAATCAGCAAATTACATTTATCATAAACCTTTTTAGCTGCTGTCAGAAACAGGAAGTCTGAAAAGATGATTCGCAGTTTCTGAAGGAAGACATTTGTTGTATATACTACATCCTTTGTACTAAAAGGTTGGAGGCCACAACATCGTACGAAAAAAAATCGGCTGCCTTTCACAATATGTTATGAAAAAAACTGAGCTTGTGGCCAAGTCTTTTGAAGAATGCCAAAAGTCAATGACGGACATCTTAAAATTCCCCAGTGTATTTATTCAATATATTTACTTAGGAAACACTATAATTTAAGTTAGCTTTGAAAATATTTTTAATATTGCCAACAGGACAATGTCAGGCAGCAAAGAATAAAACAAAAAGCATCTGTTTCCCATAAACTGCTCAGAGCTGCATTTCAACATAGAAAAGAATGGCAGTTACAGCAATTCTACACAAGAGGGGATTCCACTTAAAGTCATTATGTGAGAAAGTTCATCTTATCACCTATTAAATAAACGTTACCGCTCTTGACATTAAATTTGAAGATGCATGGAATATTATCAGTTTCCATTAACTCTTTTGTTGACGTATTTAAATACTTTTAAAATGCACATGCATCTGGTTTAATAAAAATAATACATTATACTGGTGAGTACAATTTAATCAAGATCATAATTACTTTACAGTTAGAGAATAAACACAATCTCAACTGCAGCTCATAGCATAGCAACAGCTTTTCATTAAATATATAAATTACTACAGCCATTTAGAATGAAGTTCTTTCAACCCTGGAATTCAAGCTCTACTCCAGACCAGAAGGACTTAATGAAATTCTCCACTTACTGTTGGTTCTAAGCATTATAACTGAGATGAGTTTGGATAGTTGCAATCCTCTTTTGCTGAGTGTATATGCATAGTGTAAATGAATACCAAATACCATGCCCCTGCCTCTCCCTCCTTTCCACAGTCACATTCAGATCCTACAATATTTGAACATTTCCACTTTCATAAGAACACAAGTAATCATTCATTAAAACAAAATGGTTGATTTAAGGATAAAAGACAACACATAACCTATTTCTTATTTTGCGTGCTGAGGAAATTTAAAGACCCATTGGAACCCACAGGTCATCTTCATACTTAATCTTCTGTTTTCAAGAAAAAATGATCATCTGAGCAACATGCCTTCATTATTTAAACCTTTTTGTCTTGGCATCATTCTGCACTATGCCAACTTCAAGGCCAATACATTATCTTCCTGAGATGCAGTGCTGAGAACTGAATATAGAACTCCGGATGTAGATTAAACGGATAGTCAGATATAGGATCATGTTGCAATTCACGCCACATGAAATATTTTTAAATCTTGCCTAAGATGTTCAAGTGACTGTGGTCCAAGTGAACTAGAGGCAAAGGGGAAAATAGCATCTGAAGCACCTGGATGAGTTCCACTAGCTTAAATGATGAGTCAACAAGACCTGACAGCAGATTCTAAACCTCTTGCTTAGCTGAAAAACTATGCGGAACTAAAAACAAAGTGATGCACTCTATCTGCAAAGACAGGAGTTTAAATAAATTTAAACTGAATTTGTCAACATTTTTTCCTTCAGAAAATCAAAACCAGTGGGAGGCATTCATATTTGCCTATCATTTTTATCTTTTCCTTAAAAATTACAAGAGTCTTCAGTAATCAAATTGAGATGAATGTATCTGCCTTGGAACTGTACTTAAGGCGAAATTTAGTCATCAGCTTTTAAATATTTCTAGCTGTAAACCAGTCACTAAACTTCTACCTGATATTACATTATCAAAATTATAAAATCACAGAGTAGTCATTTGGCCTGTCATTTCTGTTACTGTGAGCAAGCTAACTAGACTAGCAATATCAGCCATTTTGTGTAAGCAGAATTCTTTTTTTTCTCTAATCCAGAAACTTGCTACAAAATCATTTTTCTATCTGTACAGGAAAAATGTTAGGAGGAAGTTATTTCAGATTTTAAAATTATGTACAACTTCAATAAACTATCTTCTAATTATCAGCGAAGTCAAGATACTTATTTATCCCTTCTCCGTGAATTTAAAACCTCCCCATGTTTAGGCATAGCACTACAACGAAGCCTGCTTCCAGTTATTTAATGGCAAGCTACCAACACTCCTTTGTGGAATGAAAGCTGGCCACGATATTTAGCTTCTTTGTTTGATGCATTAAAAACAAACCTATATAAAGGATTATATGATATTTTAAAGCAAACTACAAATATTCAAGCTTTTTTTCTAATATTGTAACCTGTTGCTTTACCTCCAGGATTAATCTTAAATATCAGCATGTGCAAGTTTTGGCATTGTTCAGATAAATATTTTGTATCTTACGGCAGATGCAAATAATTGTGGACATCGTGAGATGTTGCAAATGGATCATACAGCAAGGCATGTTTGATAATAACTTTTTCCTCAAGAATAAAAGCAACTTAACTGTATTTCAGGAACAAAAACAGAATTTGTATAAAAAGCTCGGCAGGTCTGGCAGCATCTGCGAAAAGAAAATCAGAGTTAATGCTTCGAGTCTGCTGACCTTTCCTCAGAACAGTTCTGAGGAAAGGTCACCGGACCCAAAACCTTAACTCTGATTTTCTTTTCACAGATACTGCCAGACCTGCTGAGCTTTTCCAGCAACTTCTGTTTTTGTTCCTGATTTACAGCATCCACAGTTCTTTCGGATTTTATCCAATGTATTTCATGAGGTTTCCATTTTCCTGATAAGAAATTAATTTTGTGCCTCTGTGACACACTACAACTCAATATGGCACAGCCCAACAACTGATTGAGAAACTCTAAAATGCTGAATTCAAATAGGGAGTTTCAGAGTTAAATTTCTTTAGAGCCTAAATATACTCAAAAAATAGAAATTTACATTTACAGGTATGTTCATCCCTAAAAAAAAAAAAGTTTTGTACTTTAGTACTTCTGCTGACACGGAGTGCAGCTGCAGCAAAAAATAAAAGTATACCTCTGGGTGGGTGGTGGGGAGGAGGGGGGTGGTGGAGAGAGAGAGAGGGCGAGGGCGAGGGCGGGAGCGAGAGGGCGGGAGCGCGAGAGGGGGGAGAGCGAGAGGGGGGAGAGCGAGAGGGGGGAGAGCGGGGTGTTGGGGAGCCGGAAGAAAGTGTGACAAGGTGTTTCTTTTGCAGGCATGACAAATTTGTTCGAAAACAGGTATTTTGTGTTTCAAATATATTGGCTATCTCTAGAGATTCTTACTTTATTCAGAAGGGATCCTCATTCAGTTTTGAGCGATGAATCTTCTTTTTATTTCTTAAAAAGCAAGAGGCTGAGATGTGTTAAATTTCGAAGGGTCATAGATGTTCTTGTTCACAAATCATTAGACACCGAAAGTTAATATGCACAAACCAATATTCCGTATAATTTATCCTCCCATTGTACGGACCTTCATGCATGGTAGCAGCTCCAACAAGCAGGAGCTTTGGGTCAGCACATTTATTGGTGAGTGCAGAGCTTCCCACTGGCACCATGGTTGGTAAGCTGAGAGGGAATGTTGGCAGGTACCACAGTAATTCAGAAAGCAAGTATTACGCTGACACTTATTTCAAGAGGATTTGAGTACAGGAGCAAAGATGTCTTATTGTAATGATATACAGTCTTGGTGAGATTTGGAGTATTGTGTGCAATTTTCCATAGCTAAAGGAAGATATCCTTGCCATAGATGGAGTGCAAACAAGGTTCACCAAACTAATTGCTAAGATGGAGGATGTTTCTATTCTTTGATTTAACACTCGGGTCTAATAGAGGGCCACTGCTGTGCAGTCCACTTTGGGAAAAGAACAGAAAACAAA